CAATAACCATTTTTGTTATAGGAGAAAAAGTAGCATCGAAATCAATTTGATTATTTTTACTATAACACTTAGCTATAAGCCTAACTTTATACACACAAACACACAACCTTACAATTATCATTATATTTGATTATGTACACCCAATTACACCCAATGAGTATTCTTTCATAGAAATATTAGTTACAAACCAAGTTTGATTCATATATAAAACGTTTGGTTCATTATTTATAACATTTGTCCAATTAGGAACAATAGAGACATCAATATAATTTTTGGTTTGACCATTTTATTTACATTTGACATAAAACACAAAGATTAAAATTCAAGTAGAAACTTGATAATAACATTTTCTATATAAAAATTATACTACCTTTTATCGCAAATACCTCTAATCACCTTGGAACTCTCGACTCCCTGACCGACCTTCTAACATTGATTGGCTCATTATCCAAACCATAAATACCATTAAAGGAAGAAGGTTTATGTTAATTTAAGTGTACGAAAAGTAGAAACTCGAGATATTCGCAACATGAACAATTTATTCACTATAAACTAGTTCGTTTGTACATCAAATTACAAAAGAAAGCTCAATACAAATTACAATCACACTCATATGAACAATAGAAATCAATATTATCTATCTTGATAATAGATTAAACCCTAAACAAAGATGAAACCATAATATATATGTTTCAGAGAGAGTTTTCATATCAAAGAGGAGTGAATTAGAAAGTGTGTTGCAAATGAGCCATCAACTGAACAATAAATACCTAGGTCCAAGCAAGACCCACTAAAGCTCCATGGATCACTTAAGGTCTGCGTGTAAACCCAACACCTGCATTAGAAATTACACTAAATACCCACAAGAAAACACAATATACAATATCTACCCAAAAATAAATTAATGATTAATTTTGAAGAAAACATGAATATGTGATATTTTAATGCTCCCGCTCATACTAAACATTAATTTGAGAGAGAAAAAAAAAACTTAACTCTTTTTAAAAACATCAATTAAACCAAGACGACAGAAATATAATTATGTTGGCAACTCCTAAGTGTTTTAGTTAGAATATTAGTATTCTAATTCAAAGATCAATTTTAGTAACTTTTAAAACACCAATTACGATTTTTTTTTTCTCGAACAAAGTGAAGATTAACCTCAAAATGTTTGGTTTTTTCATGAAAAAACGGATTCAAATCCAACTTAATAGCAGACTCATTATCACAAAATACGTTTACCAGAGTTAGATTCTTAAATCCTAAATCAAACAACAATTTTAGAATCCAAATTACTTCACATACAATATAACCCAAGGTTTACTTAAATTCAGTGGAAAAGTGAAATGATTTCTTGTTTTTCAATGAAACAAGACAACCACCCAAATAAACAAGATAGTTAGTAACAGACCTTTGACTCAACAAACATTTTGCCCGATCAGCATCCATAACCCAACTAGATCAAAGGAACTATTCTTGGTTATATGAATACCCTTACCAGGATTGTCCTTCAAATATCTCTAATTCTAAAAGCTATATTTAATTGTGACTTATAAGGTGTATGCATATATTGACTTAAAATCTAAACAACATAAGAGATGTCAAGACCAGTGATAGTTAAGTAAATCAACTTGTATATTAATTTTTGAGATTCAATTATATTTACCAAAAAAATATGAACTGTCTAAATCACATCCCTTTTAATAACCAAATTAGCTTCAATGGGGGTTTTAACAGGCTTGCAAGCAAGCATCCCAAACTCATGCAATAATTCCAAGCAATATTTTTTTTATTAAGACAAATACAAATATCAGTTCTAATAACTTCAATACCCAAAAAAATATTTCAATTCTCCTAAGTCTTTAACCAAAAACTGAGATTTAAGAAACTTTTTAACATTATTAAACTTAATGTTGCAATTTCCAGTAATAATAATATCGTCCACATAAACCAGTAAAACAACAATACTATTTTTAAAATTCCTTACAGTCAAAGAATAATCGTTAGCACTTTGTTTAAAACCAAAGGTTAAAAAGAGAAGATAATAATTTTACGTTCCACTGTTTAGGGGCTTGTTTAAGTCTGTAAAGTGAATTAATCAGTTTATAAACTCTTACATCACCCTTAGAATGATATTTTTCAGGTAATTTCATTAAAACAATTTCAATTAAATCACCATACAATTAAAAGCATTGTTTATGTCAAGCCAATATAAATGCCAAAATTTATGAACAACTAAAGATATAACAATTCAGACAATAACTATTTTGGCTACAGGAGAAAAGGTCTCCTCATAGTCAGGTCCTTCTCTCTGATTGTACCATTTAGCTACTAATCTAGCTTTCTACCTTTCTATTTCACCGTTATATTTATATTTAATTATGTAAATCCAGTGACAACCAATAGCTTTTCTGTCGTTAATCTCTCAAGTGTTATTCCTATAAAGTGCTTCCATTTCTTCATTCATTACCTTTACCCAATTAGGGTCTAAGGCAGATTCATTATAAGTTTTAGGTTCAAGTGTTTTATTCAAATAAGATACAAAACACAAATTTTCACTATTAATAATAGAATAATTAACTGACCTCTCAATTCCATACTTATGCATTCCCTCCACAACATAATCACTAAACCTAAATAACATCACGACCATATCTAGTGACCCTAGTAGAGCTCAATAAAAGTGGCATTGGCATGACCACTCCAACAAGCCTTACCTCTGAAGTTTACATGCCAATGAATCTTGTGAAAACTTATGAATCCTTTTACACAAAAAGCAAGAAATAAAATATTTATTATAATTAAACAAAATCATATGATTATTTCAAAAGAATTGTTAGTAATTAACCCCTATCAAAAACTAATTAACAAAAATTATTACCCATTTGATTATTAACTTGTATGAATAATATATTTTCCTCATGCCAGACGGAGTGGGTGAGGGAAGAGGTGAGGGAGGCTTTCTCTCTAACCTAAACACCGCACCTTGACTGAGGGAAAGATGGTGAGGGAAGGAGATGGGGAAGCCGGTTGCCGCATTCTCTCTCAATTTCTTATTGGGCGATTTTTTTTTATCTTTTTTATTATTTATTAAATTATAAACCTACTAAAAAGTTATAAAAAAAATATCAAAGCTCATGGTTTTTAATTCACTATAAAATAAGTATAATATATATATATATATATATATATATATATATATATATATATATATATATATATTAAAAAAGGGATAATAACTTAAAAGGGTAATATATTTTTCAATTTGTATACATTTGGTCACTGAGTTTTTTTTCGTCCACATTTACCCCTGCAACTTGTTAAGCTGTACACATTCAGTCCTTATGAACGGTTACTCCACGTGAGCTGGGAAAAATGACTTAATAAGATAATATATTTCTCATTTTATACACATTTAGTCCTTAATATTTTTGTACATATTTAGTCCTTAATATTTTTTGTTACAATATAAGTTATTTTTGTTTTTGTACTCATTTAGTACTTATGAATGATTTCTTTAGGTTTTTCTCACGACATCTTATGTGGGACAATCATTAATGAAGTGTATGGGGCTGTTGATGTTTATGTGTAACATCTCATTTTCACAACTGAAAATTTTCATTTTTAAATAAGGCAAAAGTCCCTAATTATAAATCCATTATTAAGAAAAAACGTTTATTTCAAAATACATTTATCGAAGAGTAATATAAGAAACACGGAATCCTCAATATTGGTGATCGGTGTGTACAATCATGTATTTGTCTTCCCACGATCAACGATAGAACTTGAAAACATAAATAAGTTGGTAAACACAAAGTTTAGTGAATTTTTCCCAAAATACTCGATACAACAAATGTATTATCATGCATAACGAGCCCACACTCATCAGAATGGAATACCTTGGCCCAATCAGTTACCGGATTGGAATGCCAACATGCAACAGGTCCAATCAGTCATTACACTAGAATACCCAGTGTTAGTCGACATGTCGGCGTAACCCAACTGCTCTTCTCGGGCCTCTGTGCCTACACCTTACAGCCGACCCGCACCAGGTATCTTGGTCTACAACATATAACATGACCACCTCAACGTATCCCACCACCATATGGTTATCGCCATGTAAGATGTCATGAGAAAAATCTAAAGAAATCATTCATAAGTACTCCCTCCATCCCAAAATTATTGTCCTCGTTTGACTTTTGAGGTCTTTACATGTTAACTTTTACCATTAATAATTTTATTTGTGTTATATAACTTTTGATAAAACTTATAACAATGAAAATACATTTAAAAAACAATCTATTCATATATCTTGCATAAAAAATTATATAACAAAAAGTAAATTATTTAAGGTCAAAGTTAAACAAAAGAGACTAAAAAATTCAAACGTGGACAATAATTTTGGGATAGAGGGAGTATTAAATAAGTACAAAAACAAAAATGACTTATTTTGCAACAAAAAAATATTAATGACTAAATATGTACAAAAATACTAAGGACTAAATGTGTACAAAGTAAGAAATATATTACTCTATTAAGTCATTTTTACCAGTTAACCTGAAATAGTCAGTCATAAGGACTAAATGTGTACAGTTTAACAAGTTGAAAGGGGTAAATATGAACGAAAATAAAAATCATTGACTAAATATATACAAATAAAAAAATACATTACCCTTTTAAATCATTATGCCATTAAAAAAAATAAAAAAAAAATAAAAAATAAAAAAAAAAAAAAAAAAAAAAACTATACAAATTTCCCACCCAAACCATTGAGGTTAAGTGAAAGAAAGGATGTGATCCACAAAAAAATAAAAAGAGTTTTACCCTACCTATCCCAGACCCCTACCTATCAAAGACATAGACCACTAGAGGGTTCAAGGAATAACAATTTGTTGATGTGGAAAGTAAACGGATTGATTCCGTCTTTGCATTCCCTCCACACCCTCTTGATTCTTGTTTTCCATCTAATAAATTGTCTTGGCGTTTAATAAAAGAAACCACCCCCATCAATGGCAACGTGCAAACAACAAATTAATTCAAAGACTTTTTACTAAAGAAATTTAAACAACTCACATTTTCCTACCTTCATCTTTATACACCTCACATCCAATGGAGAAACACTCTTCAATTTCCTTGACATTTAAGGGGTCCTTAGCCAAAATTGTTGACTTTAATCATAGGTTCGCACTTTCCTGGAAATTTCCTAGCCTCTCCCCTTCCCTATACAACGTAAATTGCTGCGGAAAAGATGTGAACTACACTCGATTGCTTGTCTTGAAGGAATTTTGCTTACCCACCATGCGTTTGTTGTTTTGTCCGCTTCGATAGTATCCATTCACGCTAACATCATGGGATTTGTGAACTGATTCCTGGTGGGGTTAAGTGGCTTTTTTCGGAGTTCAATGGAGTATCTATACTCATGCTTTTGAGCGAAGATTCAATTAACTTCGGGTTCTTGGCTTCTCAACATTATCATCGATAATAAAAATGGGCAATGTTAATAATCCGCAGGTGTTAGTATTCAATCCCCGTATTGAAGTGAGTTCTACTCTTTTTCCTCTTTTTGACCATGACCATTGATCTTATAAGACCAAGAACCTTATGAGTTTCTCGACACCGAATTTCTCACAGATTGGCTCGCTAGAGGTGAAGTCAATTATCGAGCCACATGATCAGAGCACATCCACTTCGGCATCAACCAATACAAATATGCTTTCTATGAAACAATTTTCAGAAAATTGTGACAAAAAACAACTATGGTGTAAAGTGATAACCAGCATAAAGATTGCTTTATTCTCTAATAAGATTAATTTACTTATACCTTTTGGCCCCTTAGCTATGCTTGTTGATACCTTGACTGGTAATCATGTAAGTTACTTATATTCATTGTTATTGTTTTTATTCAATTTTGTCATACCATTTTAACTTTTAAGCCTATGTATTAATTCTATCTTATATATATCAGGGTTGGGTCTTCTTCTTGAGCTTATTGGGCATCATACCATTGGCAGAACGTTTGGGTTGGGCTACAGAGTAATGATCTTTTTCATCTTTATTCTAAAAAATTCAACAAAACAATAAACTCTAAGATGAACATAATCAAATACGAAAGTAATTTTTGGTGATTAATGCAATTAGTACTCAACTTAGATGATGTTTTGGCTTCTTTTTTCTTCAGGCAATTGGCTTTCTACACCGGGCCTACAGGTTTGTTCATCGATTCGATAGCTTGACATTGTTGTTGACTTGGAGAAACAAAGATCGTTTTCGATACAAATAAAAAGTTAATAATAAATACCTCAATTGCAGTTGGGGGACTTCTGAATGCTACTTTTGGCAATGCAACAGAGTTGATAATATCAATGTACGCAATGAAACATGGTATGCTACGTGTTGTGCAACAATCATTACTAGGGTCAATTTTGTCGAACATGTTGCTTGTTCTTGGATGCGCGTTTTTCTGTGGAGGAATCTTTCTTCCTAAAAAGGAACAGGTTTTTGACAAGGTAAGTTAATTAATTAACAAAACGAGGTCAACTTTTCTTGAATTTTTTTTTTGTTTTTTGTTGAGCGATTGATGAATACCAACTTATTGGCAGTCGAATGCTGTGATGAGCTCAGGATTGTTGTTAATGGCAGTGATGGGTCTGTTATTCCCTGCTGTTCTTCATTTCACACACACAGAATTGCATTTTGGAAAGTCGGAATTGGCTCTTTCAAGATTTAGCAGTTGTGTAATGCTTATTGCATATGGGGCCTACTTGTTTTTTCAGTTGACTACACAGAAGAATTCGTATTCACCAATCACTGAGGTTGGTGATTGGTACTATATAACACCCTTGAATGAGAAGAAAGCATAATAACTAGTAATAAAAGGAAGTGAAATATTCAGCAAAGTCCCTATATTATGGGCTCATTAACAATTAAGCCATCACTTTCCCTTTTTTTGGAACATTAAAGGACAAAAAGAGAAAATACATTAATATTTTTTTCTAATAACGGTTTAGAAATATCAGGAAGATAGCCCAAAAGAAGGCAATTCAGATGATGATGATGATGAATCTCCTGATATTTCAAAGTATGAATGTGTTATCTGGCTCAGCATCTTGACACTCTTCATTTCCATTCTTTCAGAATATCTAGTCAACACCATTGAGGTATCCGAATAATTATCTTAAACTAATAATAATCAATGAAGCTATTTTCTAAAATATAGACATGGAAATGATTTCCATTTATATAGGGTGCTTCTGTTGCAATGAATATCCCTATAGCATTTATCAGTGTTATCCTTCTTCCTATTGTTGGAAATGCAGCAGAACATGCAAGTGCCATCATGTTTGCCATGAAAGACAAGCTTGTAAGCTATTAGTCATTACAAGAACCCTAATTCAATTATTATTATTTTTTATAATTTTTTTTGGTTACAATCTTTTCAGGATATCTCTTTAGGAGTTGCGATTGGCTCCTCAACACAAATATCTATGTTTGCTGTAAGTGTTCCTTTCTTAAGTTCTTTGTATGTTAAAAGAAAAATTTAATTTAAAGAACAAATACCAACTTTTATTCTAAAATTTATGTGTTTGTAACTACAGATTCCATTTTGTGTGGTTGTTGGGTGGATCATGGGGCGTCCTTTGGACCTAAATTTTCAACTTTTTGAGACAGCGACTCTTTTTATTACAGTTCTGGTAGTGGCTTTCATGTTGCAAGTAAGCCTCATTTTATTTTCACAAAACTTTGACTAAATTAAACATTTAAAAATGGTTCTTCTATATCTATAGGATGGAACATCAAATTACTTTAAAGGAGTAATGCTTGTGTTTTGCTATTTGATAGTTGCTGCAAGTTTCTTTGTACATATAGACCCTCTATCTATACGTAAGTTTATTCGACTTTTTGACTAGACTTTTTTTTCTTCTACATTGTTTATGGAAGTGATTCATTCATTGTCTCTGGTTTTGCAGAAGATAAACCCTAAGACCCATACCCTTCTTGAATCCATCATCAAGAGTTTCAAGTCAATTGTATGTTCTAGTTTGACTTTCCTTGATGGCATATAGTTATAATTATTGCATACTACAACTACTACTATGTGTAAATTGTTACAGAAGAGAATAATGATAAAGATTTTGAACAACAGGAGTAAAATATGTGTTACACTTAAAAGGGAACCAACCCCCTTTTCCACTAATTGTTGTTATTCATATAAATAATAATTCTTTACAAAAGAATTGGCATTTCACATATAAACATTATAAAACAAGAGAGCGTCGCAATTAATTATTCCTTACTAAAAATACAAGTAGGTGGAAGTATCTGTTGCATTGTTGCTATCCCTGCACAGAATAGATCTTGCTTCCACAATTGAGCGAGGTGGTTCAAGATCTTTCTCTTGCAGTGCATTTCCTTGCAATCGTTGCATCTGTGAAGCAAATGTATCATCCAAAACCTACAAAAAAAGTTCCTTTTTGTGTCAGACATTTTATCAAACACTTGGTGTGCAACAAACAAAATAAAGGAATCCAGATAAACTTACTCCAAGAGCATAATAAGATCCGTTGTACCAGACACGGTTTTCCTTTCTACCTTCCAGAAACTTCAGTACAATCTGTAAGGCATACAACATTCTTGTTAAAAACACATGATTTTTTATTTTATTTTATAAAAACGCATTCTTGTTAAAATCTCAATCAATCTCACCTGTCCCATTTTGTCCCATAAACCACGACAACTAGCAATGAATATTTGATTAGTAAAAACCTCATGTAAGTTGGATACAGATTCCACAAGCTGTGAACACAAAACTTGCATCCTGTCTCTCACTTCAGCCTCTCCATCTGCTTCCTTCGTTTCCTCCAAAATTCTTTGAAGTCTTGTGCTTCGACTTGCTTGCATCTGTGTAATTAATCAACACAGTAATTACTAATCACAACTTACAACTCTTGATTCATTATGAGTAATTGATTAATTGATTATGATGATTATTACTTATTACTTACATTACTAATGAGTTTAACCACTATAGCCTGCATGTAGTTTTTATACTTGGTTCTCAATAACACAGTAACTGCATTCATTTGCTCTCCATACGTTGACTTTTTGTCCCCTCCATTGACCGGAAGATAACACGCCCATGACTTCAATTTATCTTCAATTCTACAATGCAAAACATCAAGAACTCTCTTGATGGTGTTTAAAAAAGTTCCCAACTGATTAGGAATCGAATACAAGGCTGTTGATTGTCTCCTTGTTAGTTTCTGAACTTGAATCCCAAGCCTCTTTGGAATACTATCTTTCAAAGGTGTCAAAATATCCGCATATTGTCTCTCAAGTGCTTTCATAATAGCTCTTTCCACATTTGCAACAGCCTTGAAAAAAACATTTACAATCACAACATTAACATCAAGACTATAAAAATTACACACATCCGATAGTTATAAAACTTACATTCTCCAAGATCAAAGTGTATTGTGGCCATCGATTGATCACAACTTCATACTCACTCAACATTTCTTTAATTTTATCATACAAATCTTCAGCAAAAGGTGAAGTGGAATAGTTTGTGATCACCCCACCCCATGGTGCTTTTTCTGCTTTGCATAAATCAAGTAAGCAAAGCTGCATATCTTGAACCCAAACCATAATGTAATTATGGTACAAGTTTCTTGAATCCACACCACCTTGAGATACACTGAAAAGAAAAGAAAAAAATCAACAATCGTTTTCAGTATTTTGATACATGATTTTGAGGAAATGAAGTTTAATAATCCAGCAACAAACCTGATATTCCATGACTCAAGATTCCTCTCAAAGTCTGCAGTTGCTATAAGAAGTTCATTGACATGAGGTTGAGGACTTGAAGGAGGCCATGCTGCAAGAAACCCTTTAAGCCTTTTACATAACTCACTGCTGTAAACAGCTGCTGTGATGCTTGAGAGATCAATAGAGCTGAAAAAAAAAAAGCAAAGATATTGGATTTTTGTCTACAAATTACAAAACATTACATTTTTTTTTGCAAGTTATACCTTGGAAGTATGTGTTGATTATGAATTTTGATGTCTGTCTTTATCTCATCACTTAAGTTTATGCACAAATTCTTCATTTTCAAGTATGCTGTAGTGATTGCAATGGAGTCCATAAGAAAACCCTCAGTGTTGCTTGCTACAAACTCATCAGTGTCCACCATGTATTTCCTGCATCTCTTTCTTGCTGCTGCCTGTATAAAGTAAAAAACAAACACACAAGTCTTTAAAGTTTAAACAAACAAGAAAATATATTATATATTATGAACCATTATATAATTATACGATATCTTCACCTGTAAATAGTTGGTCAACAAAGTTTGACCATCTGGAGAAAGTATATCATGAATAAGAGTATACAATTGAACAGCTGGCGCTAATGCTGGTGAAGCAGATTCTGGAATTGGAATCAACATGTCTGATAAACCTGTTGAAGAACTCTCATCTAATGACTTGTAATTTTGGAAAGAAAGTGCAAGAAGACTCTCCATTTGCGTTTCACAATCCAATAACAAGCTTTTCTGCAAAATGGTAATAAAAAAATCGTACCCAAAATTACATTTTAGATAATAAAAAAAAAAAAGTCAGTGGATTAAAAGAACATTTTAGGGTTTCTCTTACCTCTTGTCTTGTGAGTCTTCTTTCGGTTCTAGCTTTCATAACGGGTACAAGTAGTTCATAAATGAGCTCTAAGCAATCTTTTGTAGGCGTAGCAACGTTCATAACATGTGAAAGATGCCTAAACAATAAAGTTTTAGTAAAAGTGAAAAAACTATATATATAGAAAAGTTTGATTATTATTAATAATCAACAAAAATTGAAGTACCTAAGTTTGGTGTATGATTCTGAGACTCCATAATAATCAGCAAACTCTGTGAGTAACCATTTCCAAGGTTCAACAACCCACAAGTTACGAGCATGGAAACATTGTGCTCGCATGGCAGCTTCCAATAGTAAATCATACGCTAGTGTTTCCACCACAGGTCCACACTGTCATTTTAATATAAAATTATAAAACAAATTAAAAGCACAAATCAAAATTCGTTAACAACTAATTTTATTTCGTTATTTCAAACCTTGAGGTGTGTAGTTTCATCAGATGCAATTGTGCTGCTGATAGAAAGCTGGATTTTCCCGATGCATTCATTCTCTTCGTAATAAATCGGCCACCATTTGATTCTATCGTTCTGTATAAAATCAATTATGTTGATAATTTTATTCTTATAAAAAGAAAAATACGTTGATATTTGACTTACAGGATTGTCATGTAGGGACGAAACTGGAATAACTGCTCGACCCTGAATGCTCCTTTTCTCCCCTTGAACTTCTACTAAAAGGGCATCTCCTTGGTTCTCTGGGAAACTATATTATATATTATATAATATATATATATATACATTATTATCATCATAATATTTGAGTACCCTTTTAAAAGTATATTAAACGAGTTTTTTAAATGATAGAAACGTACAAATCATGGGAATCACCGGTTCCAGGCCTTAGGCAAATGCCTAAAGCCGATTCCGATTCTGTAAGTTCTTGAGAGCTTTTTAGGTGTAGCAAGCATGACACTGGTTCTGCAACATGACAACATCTTTTGTTTATTAAAAGAAAAACATAAAAATGTCTAATTTCATTACATTTTTTAGGATAAAAGTTAAAAACAACAAACCTTCACATGAAAATGAAGAGATTCCTAATGCATTGATTTTGCTTTTTACAAGTGAAGAAACATGTTTAATATATTCGACTCCCGCTTGCACATAAATAGCACTTTGTTGAGAGTATGTGTCTTTAAGTTTTCGTTGTGGGATTATTCTTATCTTTTTCACTGCCAAATCCATACACAAATTCAGTCATTTACAAGTAAAAAGATACAAATTCTTTTTTATAAGTAAAATAAATCATATATATATACCTTCAACCCTAATCTTTCCAATCACTTTCTTTACTTTCAAGGGGCATGCGTTATTGTTATTATCTGGATTCTCAGTTCCATTACTCGGTTTGAAACCTCGAGGTTGCAATAATAACTTTTGTAGCCTAAAAAGAAGCAAAAACAAAACCATTTATAAGCAATTTTAATAGACAAAAAGAATAAACTAAGTTTTTGTACCCAAAAGCATTGCGAAGAAGGCGGCATTCATCATTTAAGAACAAAGGTGCTTCTGTACACCCTCTTGCCCATGCGTTTAAGCATAACCGAAAACACGCATCATAAGTAATTAAGGTTTGCCATGGATTTTGACCACTGTTAAAAAGAAGCATATATTTTTGTTAGTTATAATTTAAACAAGAACATGAATGAATATAAAGCAATGATAATAAATTAATAATACCTGTTATAATAAGTTAAATGATCTAGTGAGCTTGCTGTTTTTTCATGAATGGCTTCATGCTCCCTGTCACTAACAAAAGATTCCAGTTTCACATGATGAACATTTTCTGGCATATTAACTTCATTGTGTGATTGATCAATTCCTGAAATCCGTGAAGATTCTTTACTTGATTCATCTTCAACCTCGGGAATGTGTTCTTCAAAGATAGGAGGTGCACTTGGAGTTCCCAAATCAGCTATAGGTGTACCCTTTACATTTTTATCACTAAACGTCAACAAAATAAACTTTTATAAACTTATAGATTATATGAAAGTTTACTTACATAGGCACTACGAGGTTGTAACATATCACGCAAACGATTGGCAGCTGAAAGGGAACTGGGCCCACCATGCAATCCAGTTTCGGTGAGTTTTCTGGGTTTTTGAGGTACTTCGATACAAAGATCGTCTTTTATTATCCCTCTATTTAAAGTAGACTTGTTGGGGGGAAGTGTAACTGGATTGACATTCAAGATTTGTTCATCGAAGGTTTCTTCATCGGAATAAGTTAAGTCCATGTCATCTGAAGCAGATCCGACACTCTCATCATCATGTTCATGTTCATGTTCATGTTCATCATCATCGTCGTCACAATAATCATCGTCATCGTTGTCTTCTTCATAATCGTTGGTTTCAAGATTATGAGATCCAAGTATGCTAGAATGGAATTTAAGGGGTGGGAGTAGATTCGAGGATTTGTAAGTTGTGGAATTAAACGAAAGGGGGGATTTAGGAATAATTGGGTATTCTTGATCTATTGAAGTCTCTCTTAAAGGTGAACGCGTCTCTTGCTCTTTCTGTAACCCCTGTTTGTACCATATGATTGTTATGAACACAACATTCTCAGTTTTTCAATTTAATCGAAGAGGAATTACACAGAAAAACGCAAAGCAACGATGATAAACCAACACAAAATTGATGAAAATCATTTTATTGATTTCAAAATCGAGAGTTGAAGTGCGTACCTGTTTAACCCAGTTCAGGGCCCTTTCGTCTAATCCCTCTGTGAACATGTTTATTGAGAGAGAGAGAGAGAGAGAGAGAGAGAGAGAGAGAGAGACGGGAAGAAGAAGAAGAAGAAGAAACGATGAGAATGTGATATGTGTTTTAGCAGATGAGTCGAGTTCTTGATGGGTGATGAAGATGAGAGAGAAGACAAAGTGGAGAGCGTTTCAGGTTTTCAGCTTGTAAGTTGTAACGGCTAGTTTGAAAAAAGTGGCTTCATTCATTAGTTGTTTAATGGCTTATAGTTTCATTTTCTCCCTTCTACTTTTAAATATGTCACCGACATCCTTTACTCGTATACTAAATTACTAATGCCCAATTACAGACTATGATAGTGATGGTTTGGATTTTTTTTATATATTTAAAAACAAACATTCGTTGGCTTGTTGACAAAGCTGACAACGTTATGGTTTAGATACTGAAAAATAAACTTTGAATAAAATTATTAAGCTAGATGTTAATTACATTAGAAAACGGTAAAGATTGTATATGTATTTTATTTTATTAGTCGATATTAATATTAATACTTAGAGAAATTTACATTTTTGGTCCTTATTGTTTGGTTGTTTTCTTGAATTATGTCCACTTTCTATAGATGTAGCACTGACCATTGACTTTAAACAACATTACACCATCGGTCCCTGTGGTTAGTAAGAATTGGTAGGTTGAGGCCAACTATCACTGCTACATGGTTTGTAAGAATTGGTAGGGTGAGACCAATTCTTTTTTATTTTCAAAAAAAGGACAGGAGCATTTTAATGCAAGACCTTGACTAAAATCAACATATAAACCACACTTTTCATAAACATCATAAATAGAATGAAACTTAGGGTTTAGCTTTCAGTCTTAACCCCTTAAGCACTTAATCCATCATTACAAGGATTAAATAAGAACCACAAAATTATCCACCAAGAAGTGGTGGTGGCTTCGTGGTGCAATGGTGATCAAAACTTCCCACAATATTGTGTTATGCTAAAAAGGGAAAGGAAGAGAAAGATACCTAGCTACTCATCTAAAACCATGGGGTTTGGAAAAAAAAAACCAAACCTTCCTTCCCTTTCTTGCCTCCCTCTTGCACCCCCACCATTTGTTATCCAACATTAGATCTTTATTATCATATTTTGGAGTCATGCACACCTCAATCTAATGGGGTCGTTGGGAGGAAAAAACATACATACTCTTCAAGAAATGAGTTGGAAAGTGTTATATAATAAGATTCAGTGGCATGACAAGGATCTAATGGAGGTTTAATTAAGCAGGCAATTGCAATCCAGAGCGTATGTATGTGTAAGACAAAAAATCCATAATATATTATAGCAAGAGGTTTAATTAGTCTGGTATTTAAAATAGTGTCTTATTGCTGTTTTCAGCTTATAAGGTGTTAGAATCGATGACCATAACAGAAGGCCCCAAAAATTAAACATTCAAAACTTAAGGATTGGAGGGGTGCGCCGGACCTTGGCAGTAGTGTAAGACCAAGGCGACGCATGAAGAACCCCAGCAGCAAGCTACTGTAACGGGCCTTCCCCCATAAAAAATAAGATT